TTCGAACATGAACTTTAAATACATGAAAATCTTATATTGCATTTTTAAAAAAATCAACACAAATGTTTAATAATTTTAATAATTTTTTTTTAAAAAAAATAAAATCTTAATATATTATAATTTTGAGTTGCTCGTTAGCTTTCCGAATTGAGTATCAAATAGCTAGTTTTGACTCGTTAAGAACTCGAGTTAAGTATTTATCGAGCTTTAACTGAGTCAATCTCGAGTAGCTCACGATCTGTCTCGTCTTATTTAAAGCCCTAGTACTAACTTGCACGTTGTCAAATGAAGACTCAAACTCAGATTTATTAAAATTAATTCAAACCCTTAATGATCTGGCGACACTAAGCAAATAAAATGCCACAGGGAATTGTAAATCAAAAAATCTCAAACACACACCAGTCGAGCAATGTAAACATTTGCGAGAGTTGTCGAATGTGCAACATTTTAGGTGTTCATGCTTTAACATTACAAGAGAAAAAGACAGTTAAAGGAACTAAAGTTCATATGCTCTTTAGTCTTCTTCAGCAGAACAGAATATCATTAGAGCACTTTTATTTCTTCTCCCTCGATCCATTGGGTCAAGTTTCCTACATTTAACACCGAATAACATGAGCTTCTATGTGTGGAACAACGAAAAGCAAAACTGGGCAGATATATGCAAACAAGGCAGGATGAAACACATTTCCCCCTTTATCAAACGGAAAGAAAAAGGGCGGTAGTCGTTAAAATATATGCATGCACACGCGGCTAAATGCAAGTGAAACATCAAAGAGCACAAGAAACATAGACTTATTTGTGGCATTGCTAGTCTCCTTCCAGTTGTACAACATGCAAAGTAACTAAAACAAAGCACCACCAAAAGAAATCTTCAGAAGAATGAGTTATTCTAGTTAAAATTTACAACTATCATTAAAAAAATTATGAACTACTAATAATAATTCAAGAGCCAAATAATTTAATAGTTATGGTATAGAATGAACACTGCTCTTTAACTTAATCAAGTTTGCAGAAATCAGAATCACAAGGAAGCACATTGTGTCATATTCACATAAGCCATAAATAAATAGAAATTACATATTCAGCTCATGAGCTAAAGCCAACGCTTCAACACATTTGAAATGGACAAACAAATCAAAACTATGTCTAAGATTTTAATGCATGCTACTCTATAATCATTTCAAAATCCCATGCACACGTATGCAAACGGAAACTTACAAAATTTAGGGGCGAAAACAGATTATCAATATAAAATACAAAAAAATATCTAAAATGTACGAGAATTTGAAATTTTCATGGGACATAACACCCCTCTCACTGAAAGCAACAGTCCTTATAGACCAGAGTGAGCTGGGGAACTTGCAGGAGAAAGTCCAATAACATTCCACTACATACTCCATTAATAAATTTAGCTCTCATCATTGTAACAGATGTTTAGTCCATAGATTAATGTATTTCGATGGTAATGAAATATTAAAATTAAAAGTTTAGTGTAAGAAAATCGGTATACTATGACTTCTAGGCAGAGTAAACAAATAAGAGGGGGGAATATCCAGCAGATGGGGAAAATGAATTGAAATCAGAAATGAGTAAAATTGGGGGGAAATTAATTGAAAACCCTAATAAGTTGATCTCCGATGAAATCAATGACAAGTAGAGAAACCGGAGATACAGATAAAGAGAAAACATTAAAAAGATGAAATTAAACAGAAGAGAAAAGCAAGTACCAGAACTAAACCAAAAAGAGATCAATTGGAGGAAGAGAAATTTTCCATGAGCTTCTTATCTCTTCTTTCCATGGCAACGTCCCACATATCGTTCCCGATGTGCTTCGGCTGTTTCAAATTTCAGTTTCATCAAACGATTTCAATCAAAACTGAAACCCCAATGAATAAATAGATCCAAATTTTTTAAATTGAAATCAAAAAAGGGAAACGAACCCGGCCATGATAAGTTTTGTGGATGAAATACTGAGCATTGCCCATAACGCAGAGCATCCCAGCTATGATCCCCAGGGGGAGAGCTGCTTCCAGCCATATCCATGCCATTTTCGATTCTTCTGCACTTTCGATCTCCCAAGTTTTCTAAGTGGGGAGTAATAAACTCCGATTCTGCTGTGAGCGAGGACTAATTAAGTTCCGGATTTTGGCCCAACCGTTGTGGAAATAGGCTTTCCAACTCGTTAAATCAGGGGTAAGCTACCTATTTAGTACTTTAACTATTAATTTTGGTCCGTTTTAATATCTAAATTATCATTTTTTAAAAATTTAACGTTAAATTTTGAACAGTTGTACTAAAATGAAACAAAAACTAAATTTTTTAAAGGTGAGATACTAAAATGAAACAAAACTAAACATTATGTATGATTTTGAAAAAAATTTAAAAGTTTATGTACTAAAACATATCAAAACTAATAATTTTTGTGTTAAACACGTAATTTACCCTTAAACCAACTAACTTAGTTTTCTTGGGATAAAGAACACAAATGATCCCCAAATGTAAGATATTATTTTATTGAGTCTCTCAACTATTAAAAGTTATAAAATAATCCATTAGTTATATGATATTATTTTAATGAGTCTCCAACTTTTGAAAGTTACAAAATGATCATTTGACTATTTATATGTCCAAGACTCATTATTTTTGTTAAAAAGTTGAAGGTAGTCTAAGTTGAATATTAATTTGCTGACTGTAATATGATAAAATATGATAATAAAATCTCAAATAACTATTATATCTCACTCAACTGGTTAAGCGTCCAGCTTAGACTGTCATAAATTTGTTTAACAAAAAAGACGAGTTTAGAACATATAAATAGTCTAGTGACCATTTTATAACTTTTAATAGTCGTGGGACTCAACAAAGCAACATCCTATAATTGGGAGAACATTATATAACTTTTAATAATTGTGAGGCTCAATAAAATAACATCATATAGTCAGAGGATCATTTGTGTACTTTACCCTAAATTTTTTTATTTGATGGATAAAGTATACAAATGATCCCTTGATTATAGGGCGTTGCTTTATTGAGTCACTCGATTATTAAAAGTTACAAAAAGTTCCCTAAACTATAGGACATCATTTTTTGAGTCATCGACTATTAAAAGTTATAAAATGGTCACCTGACAATTGATTGTGTTCCAAACTCGTCATTTTTCGTTAAAAATTTGACGACAACTTGAGTTGGACATTAACAAATTGAATGAGATATAATAGTCGTTTGAGATCCTGAGACCAGATTTGATCGTATCTCAGTCAAATAGAGTAACGTCCAACTCAAATCGTCATCAACTTTTTAACGGAAGCGGACGAGTTTGGGACAAAATGAATAGTCGAATGACCCTTTTATAAATTTTAAAAATTAAGAGACTCAAAAGAATAACGTCGAATAGTCGAGAGTCGAGACCGCTTTTTCTATATCTGCACACATATTAAAGGAGACCAACTCAACTTTCAATAATGTGTGTGTGATTGGAATTTCAAATAGTCTATAGTTGGTTAAATTTTTTAAAATATATATTTAAAAGTTACTTTATTGATTTTTTTACATGTATTTTCAACTTTTAGTTTTGAAACAAGACGTGTACCGCAAGTACAATATCCAATAAAATAGGATGAAATAAAAGCTATTACTAAATTTAGTAATCCCAATCACCCAAATGTAATATAAAGTTGGTGACATTACGTCACGTAAAATGGGAAGAGCGTTACCGTAATAAGTCTCTAATACTCTATCTATATTAACCAACCAATAAGTGAAATATTAATAGTTACACAAAAAGGTAAATTTCCTTTATTACTTCATACATTATACATAAATTATAAATTTACTCTGCTTTCTGATTTTATGACTTTCTACCCTTTTATTTTTATCTTAATCTGAACAATAATCGTTAAAATTTGAGGTTAAATCCTATTATAATTTCTTATATTTTGAGTAAGTTTACATGTGTTTTTTCTACTATTTGATCATTTTAAATCTTATTATTTAATCATATTATAGTTGTATTGGTGTTTTGTATCCCATGAACTCTAGGCTGAAAATCGTGATCCTACGTGATCCATACGCCCAATCGATGACAACTACGACGACGTATGACTAGAAAGATGGAAGAAACTACGTCGACGACGGTGGTCATAGTCAACAAGAGCGATGATGGTGGGTTAGGGTTAGAAATTTAGAATTTTTAGGAATTTGAGTTTTTTTAACTTAAGAGAAATTAGGTTTTTTTAATAAATATAATAATATTTTTTAAAATTTTCAAAATTACTAGAATTAACATGTGTCACCTAACTGAGAAAATTAATAGCAATTATGGCTTGAACACCTAAAGTGATAACGTTTGTAACGTTAGACATCTGATCATTCAAAAAATATGTTTGGGCACCTATTTGTGAAAAACTCTATAGTTTGGACACTTATTTTATAATTAAGCCAAAATAAAATAAAAGAAACAGCAAGCAGCTAAGGCCAAAGGTATCCTAGAGGAGCGGGTAGCCGGGGGCAGCTAAGACTTCGTTGGCATTTGGCATTACCAAACAATCACTATAATTCCCCCATTGGCCTCTTCCTTCTCCGTGGGGTCCAAACATTTTGTGATCCTTTGCATGATTGACACGTGTCCTATCCATCTCTTCACTTCTCTGCATCCCTCCACATCCTCTAACTTCCCCACCCACCACAGGGAATAGTAAAGACACTGCCTTTCTCTTCTCCTACTCTTCTTCTGGCCTAATAATCCCACACTGTCACTTTTTCTAGGAAAAAGAGCATAAAAAAATAACCGTCTTTGCAGAGTTAACTTCCGACAATGGAGGAAAATTATGAATTTTTTAAAATGTGGACTCCTTTTCTACTAATTTGACACACAGTGCTGTCCATAAATTTTCATTTTTTTGTTATTTTTTTATTATATATATAAATAATATTGTTGCCTCTTATTACACACCTCTCTTATTGATGGTGTTGTGTTCTTCTTTCTTTATCCTGCTCAAATTGGGAAATCTTTTTTCTTTCTTTTAAACTAAAAAGATCATTCATTTATAAAGAATTGAATCCCCAAAGGCTAAACTAGTATGTCGGGTATCTATAATCCCAACTTTTCTCCTGCCAGAGCTGCTTCTCCTCAGATCAGAACCACCCCAGATGCTGACAGGTAAACTTACACACAAGTTTTATTTTATTTTAACTTAAACTTGTTTTCTTCAATTCTGATTCTTCCTTCTTTTTTTTCCTTTTGGGTGTTGGACAATTTTTAATCTGTTTGGAATTTTTGTGTTCTTTTTCTTTTTTGCTTTTCCTCAGTCAGTACTTATCAGAACTGTTGGCAGAGCATCAAAAGCTTGGACATTTCATGCAAGTCCTTCCTATATGTAGCCGCCTGCTAAATCAAGGTTAATTCTTTACTCTTGTCACTCCTGGATCTAGGTTTTTTTTTAATTATTGTATGTGTTTTAGTTACCAATGGTAGGTCAGTCTAATTGAATGTAGTGATGAGATTTTCAAGTTTGCCTTTTTCTAGTACCTATTCCCTTGGTGGTTATGGTATTGGTTCGACCATGTAATTAACCCTATATTTGTTAGTTTGCTGTGTGGTCCAATACTAGAACCTGACTAGCTTTCATCGCAGCATTGTGTTTTGGATGGTGCCTTCACTGGGATTAGTTGTTCACTACACATCGATCACTCGGTGATCATTGTTGTTTTAGGTGAATTGTATACGAGATACTGTCGTCTTCAGCTGGGACAAAGTCTTGAGTCACTTGGTGTTCACTGCTGTTTTAGTTAAATGGTGTGATTATTTTCACCTTTCTGTTCGCGTGCTATGTATTCGAATATAAATTGGAAAAGATTCTTAAGTTTGGGCTTAGAAAGGTTATTGCATTTCAAGTATTACTCATGTCTTGAGAAGAAAATTCGTCTAATATGGAAAAGCTGGCATAGATGTGAAGTAGATGCGGCACCATAGGTAGAGTAGGTGAAAGTGTGTACATTTTTCGGACCGTAGGATGTATTAGCACTCTATGTTTCTTTTTTAAGTTTTATTATCATTTTGCCTCGAAATGGTTATTTTGATTTTGGATGTTATGTTCCTTTCATGCATTGATATGTTTTCATATGTGGTCTCTATATGCAGAGATATTTCGGGTCTCAGGACTGATGTCTAACCAGGGATTTGGTGACTTTGACCGGATGAGGCATAGAAGCCCCAGTCCCATGGCTTCTTCGAACCTTATGTCAAATGTTTATGGGAGAGGATTAGGCGGCTGGAATAGTCTTTCCCAAGAGGTTACTATTCTTAAATCTTTTAGCTTTTGTTTCTTCATTTTGAATATATATATTATCATTCACATTTTTATTGTTTGAAGTTCTCTTGCTTTATTAGTAGACCAAAACATTCGGATATTGATTGGTCTTGGTTTAACACGATTTACGTGATAATGGTTCCTGGAAGAGTTCATATCTTCGTTGGCTAAGCAACTGTTCTAAAACTATGGATTTCGATTTTAGTTGCTAAGTTCTGTTAGTTAAACAAGAATAAGGAAAATGCCCTAATTGTCACCAAATGAAAGCATTCCTACCAAAAGGTGAACATCCGAGTTTTATATTGATCCTCTTTGTATTTGGTTGATGACTCATACACAATGATTTTTTAATCTCCAATATTTTACTCAATGTTGGACCATCGTAAGTAACTCGGATGAGAACTTAATCTATTTCCTGTTCAAATTGCTGTGCTTGCCAATGGTATCCTCTTAACGCGGATGAATTGCAGAAGCTTAAACTCGTCTAAATATGTTTGTTTCCTGTTTCTTGGATTGAGCCTTCTGTTCTTTTGTGTCACCATGTTTTTGTTTTTATTTTGACAGAGATTGAGCCGACCACCGGGGATGTCAATGGACTGGCAAGGTGCCCCTGCAAGTCCTAGTTCATACACTGTGAAGAGGATTTTGCGTCTTGAAATTCCTGTTGATTCATATCCAAACGTAAGCCGTAGATAGCTGCTAGTGCGTTGGATTAAAATTTTATTGATTATAATTTTCATATTTCAATCGAATGAGACAAATCTGTTGTGAGAATTGGGGTTTAGAAGTCTTTTTTTCGTTGTTAGTTCAATTTTGTTGGACGACTTCTAGGCCCCAGAGGAAATTCATTAAAGCGGGTGGAAGCTACTACTGGCTGCCGAGTATACATCAGAGGCAAAGGATCAATAAAGGATCCGGACAAGGTAAAGCTACAAATTATATGAACTATTGTTGTTGTTGTTTAGGTCCAATACCATTAGCTTTTTATATCTTTAATAGCCCCCTTTTTTTTCCTACGAATTTTCCTGAAAAAAAATTGATTTTTTTTAATAATTCCTCATCTTTTCCCATATGAAGGAAGAGAAGCTGAGAGGCAGACCAGGATATGAGCACCTGAACGATCCACTCCACATCTTAATCGAGGCTGATTTGCCTGCTAATATTGTTGATACAAGGCTTAGACAGGCACAGGAAATCATGGAGGAGTTACTTAAACCCATTGTACGTACAGTAATCTTCCTCTCTTCCACCTACCTACTTTTGTTATCCTCATGGTTGCAGTGCAGAGCACTTTTGCATCCATTCTCCTCGGCCGTTATCAATTTGCAGGCATCATGGTGTTGAACTGTTGATGTTAATATATTTTTATCCGTGTATTCTTTTCTGAACTTCATAACGTCATATGCAGGATGAGTCGCAAGATTTTATCAAGAGACAGCAGCTGCGCGAGCTGGCAATGCTAAACTCGAATTTCAGAGAAGATAGTCCTGGTCCAAGTGGCGGCGTTTCTCCTTTTAATTCAAGCGGAATGAAACGTCCAAAAACCGGACGCTAAGAATCAAACCTGAAAACCATCTGGAATTGTTTCTACCGTGCTCCAGGATTTCATAAGCCAGCTATATCTTCTGATACATATTGGTTCCGTCCGTGTAACTCGTAAAGACTAGGCTAACAGTTGCAGCTGCAGCCGGCGATGGGATTTCCATCATTCAACTGTTTTTCCGATTGAAAAAAAGAAAATTGGGTCTTGGAGTCTAGATTTGGTGAAGTCAGTACTCAGTTTTGCTGTCAACTTTTAATACATTCATTGGATTTATTCATATGATTAGTAGGTTAAGGAGTGAAATATATATATATATATATATATATATATATATATATATATATATATATATATATATGATGGTGAGGGTTTTTCTGAGTTTTATGGGGGTCTGTGTCATATGTTTAGTTTGATTCCTTTACATGAAGCATATAGTGCAGGTCGAGTCAGGTCGGGTTTATTATATTCTTTTATTTCGGGTCAGAGTATCCGAAGAAGCACATGGGTCGTCTCTCGTCTTTTAAGTTGGCTGGTTGTGTCTTCGATTACGATGGAGACGATAGATTCCCGAGTTTTGCTTCTGTTTCAATTATTGAATCAAAGAAATGTCTGGCAACATCTTTGATTGGATTCTGTTTTGTATTTTAATATATGATTGAGATTGGGATGATGAATTTGTCTGTTTGTTAATGCCTCATTAATTTTATATAAAGAGTGTGCACTCATCCTCTGGTCTATGTCGCACTTAACATAAATATATAATAGTTAGTACCTCCCGGACGATGTTTCGACCATGAGAGATCGGCAGCATGCCGGTCAAAAGTTCCGGAAGCACTATTCTGAGGCTATAGACGTCGCTTTTGTTGGCTAACTTGTGAATTCATACGATGAACATATGGGAAGGGAAAAAAACCAAGGAGCATTATAAGGATCCTAAGGAAATATACCAAGTTCATTGCTTTGCAGCTATGGACATATATAGAATGTACCTACTCGTCTCAAAGGCATATGCAAATACGGACGGTCAGTATCTAATCGAGTTTTGATTTCAACTATTTTTTCTTCAAAATCACAATTAACGTTACGTTTTGATTTCATTTAGATTACTCACCGTTAAAAAAAATTAACAAAACTATTGACGTGTCATTTTTTATTTTTCAATGATGATTTGACATTACGTTATAGTGACACATAAGTATCACTATTAATTTTTTAACGGCGGATGATCAAAATAAAACCAAAACTAAGCATTAGGTATGATTTTTTTTAAAAAATAGTTTGATGACTAAAACGGAGTAGAGATAATAATTGAGGTACTAAATATGGAATTTATCCATGAAATTATTGTCAGCAGTGAAAAGCAAAACATGCTCCGGAATTTCAACAGCTTTTTGTACCCAAATTTCTTTTTTCTGCTTGGTGCTTCTCCCTTCAATTTCTACTTCAAATTTGAGCCTATAAAACTATAATGTTTCACTGATTATAGTTGGTCGATAATCTGATCGGAAAAATCAAGCCTTCATTTTTACAGGTGAATTAGCCGTCCCTTTGTCCCGAGCTGGTAATCGATACATTTTTTTATTTAATTTTCTTAGCATGCATTCCTTACTGCCCTTTTCTCTCTGTTTCCCTTTATGGACTGCTTTCAGATTACTCTTTTACTGCTGTCTCTCCTTTCTTGTTTTTTGTTAAAAGATCAAAATTCTGATAATTCAAGTGAAAAAAGAGCTATGCCGATATGTCGGAGGTGGGTTGGAATTGTTGTTACGTTGTGACTTGGGGCTTCCTTTTTTTGGGAAAGATTTGAGAAAGAAAACATCACGATTCTGCTAATTTCTGCGTTTGGGAATCTGAATGGATTGTAACTTGTTCAGAAATGTAAATACATGCCTTTTGAAGTTTATTGTAGGTGTGGAAGTTAAATGGATTTAATCTAACTTGTTTTAATGTTAGTTTTTATATATATTAATTGATAGTCAAATTGTTTCTTTGCCATGTACTTAGTCTGTGATTTCTTGACTTTGATGTTTTTCCAGCTTTCAGGGTGCTTATCCATTGCTGCTGTTGGCATTTTGGCAATTTTTAAAATATGGGACATTGCTTCTCTAGGGTACGTGCTATATATATATATATATATTACTCAATGTAAAACTCTTTAGTTTTACACAGATTTAGGATCTCTGGATTAGTGAAAATAATGATTCAAATTGACTCTTTTTTCCCCAGTAAATATATTCACATTTCCTACTTCTAATTTCAACAATTTGATTTCACTCATCTTACGATCCTAAATCTATGTAAAATTAAAAGAGTTTTACATTGTGTAACATGATCCTATCCCTGTATGTATACACTTTTTTTAGTCTTTCAAATTTTTAATGACTGCATAATGTATCAGATGAAAGAATATTGTTGGCCAAAATGTAATGAATCTTTAATTAAACAAACCATGAAATCTGAAACGTTTTAAAATTAACGTTTTCTGATATTTTACTTGCATTATAGGACATGTGATTTTTTTTTTATGTAAAGGTACAATGTCATATGATGATTGTTCAACAGCTTTGAATAAGAAAACTAGAATTTCGAGAGCTCTGAGAAGAAGAATACATAGCTCCTACCGTTTACTGAAAACTGAAATTGAATTTGTTTATGTTCTTATGAAACCATGAGATTTTTGTTCTTTTCTTTTTTAGTGTTTGATGCTAACTGTTAATAATAGACTGAAACGATACACTTTATATGTAAAATTGTTATTTTGTACATGTTTTTAGTATATGGTATATTTTGTAGTTCGTCTGGTGAACTGGTTTTCTAGACCTCTTTGTTGGCTAACTATGACTTTTTTTATTTTAAAAATTCCATTTAACTTTTATTTATAGAAAAGAAACCAAGCATTTCAATATACTAGTGATAGTTCTAACGTCTTAGAGAGTGTGCCCCAGGATTCTAATGCCTTGGTTTGGGGAATGGGGTCCAATTCAAGAACGTCGTTCAGAACACTATGATGAGTTGAATGGTTGTGGTTTTGTTAATGATGTTTCTTTTAACTAACAAAAATAACGGTTTTGTCTATACTGACATTTTTTTGCCTCAACACTTTGCAATCCTGCATCTGTTATCAGTTACTACCTTGTTGAAGTTGTATAATACCTGTGATACTTGTAGGATAACTCTGATGACACTGATTCAGATCAGGCTGTTGAGTTTGTTGGTGGAAATGTGCACCGTGTTACCTCCAAAGAGGATTGGAATCAGAAGTTGTCCAAAGCAAAGAGAGATGGCAAGATTGTAAGTTTCTTTTTACTTTCAACTCAGGTGAGGTAACGGAGCAGTAGTAACTACGCTAAAGGATTTTCCCATCTAATGACCTCTCTTTGTTTAATGTCATGTTATATCTCTTTTTGTTACATGTTAATTTCTATGCCCTTTTGGAGTAAATACCTATATGTTTTAATAAGATCTCACACATGAGAATTCTACATCCGGATAGCTTTATCTATGATGATACAATGTGTTTACCATGGAAGTCCCCCTCTAAAGAACTCATCGACAATAACTGATTCTTAGTTTGGAAAAGCTCCGTAAAATATTTTTTTCCACTAAGATGAAACATAATAACTAAGAACATGATTTCATGTAATGATGAAAGTTCTGTGATTTTATTTTCTTCTTCCTTTCATTAGTTTTAAGTTGGATGAGGCCCTGTAAAATTTTGGTTTACTCTGTAATTTGCCTGGATTCAGTGGATTGTAAATTTTTCAAGTACATTTCGTTTTACATTGATAAGGTGGCTACATTTGCTTAAAATATCATCGAGTCCTTATAGATTGATTACTTCTTTCATTTGTCTTTTCCTGGAAAGACTGCTTGCTCTTTGTTTACTCCTACGCCTGTCATGTTTACTGGAGAATTTGTTGTCTATGAAAGCCTTGATTTATCGCATGTCTAAAGCCTAATGATTAATCAGGTAATAGCAAACTTCAGCGCAACATGGTGCGGGCCTTGTAGAGTGCTTGCACCATTTTATTGTGAGCTCTCGGAGAAACACCCTTCTCTGATGTTCTTGTTGATAGACGTCGATGAACTAACTGTAAGTATTGAATCGTCCATCTGCCAACTACCACTTTTTTTGTTTAATTCGTGCAGTGAGTGATTATGTACGAATGATATGGCTTAACCCTCTTGCATAAAGAAAGAAAACAAATTTGGCTTAGTATAGCAAATATATAGGATCCCAAGTGAGCACTGGGCAGGCATGCTACTTGCTTGATCTCGATAATTCGCGGGCTCGTATCACCCTGAAAAAAATAGGGTTTTCAATGATAGTAAGTAGTAGGTGGATGGATTTGTCTCTGTATGTGGATAGGAGAAGAATTTATAAATATGTTGGGAAAATCCAACATTTTAGTTGATTATAAAAGGATTGGTGTTGTGAAGGTGTTTATTTATGCAACAATGTCCAAGAAACAAGCGATGTAGTTAAAGATGAGGAATATAGAGTGGTGGATGAGGAAGAGGTGCTTGCCTTCTGGGTTCCGACAAAGGGTCCGCAACTACGAGCAGCAACGGTGGGCTGCGATGCGCGGTGTCGACGAATGCGAGATGATCCGAAACTTACCCGAGGGGCTCCGGAGAGATATCAAGTACCACCTTTGATAACGTTATTGTTGTCCTTTATTGAAGCAAAGCAGGTCAGCGGTAAAGATGGAGAAGAAGGATTGAAGACGAGTTCCTGTTCGACCGATTTCCGGCCGGGAAATAAGCAATTTATATGCAAAGTGATCTAAGAAGCCTGTTCAAATTTCTCACGGTTTATTAATGAACTGGCGCAAGTTGTTCTCGTGCTCTACTGGAAACCAGTTACAATATTTTCCCCCAAATTCTCGAGATGGAATTCCAACTGTTCATCTTCTGCCTGAAGTGTTCGAAGATGGAATTGCTGAATGGAGACTCTCGCTTGTTGGGCAATTCTTAGGAGTTGCTCCCAAACTTGCTTCTCTGCAACAAATTCACGATTCTCTGTGGAGAAAACCCTTACAAGGAGCAAAATTGCAGGTCAGCTATGCAGATAATAACCTTTACCTATTTTCGTTTAGTTCGGAACAAGCACGGGACTGGGTATTGGAGAATGGCCCTTGGCATATCTTCAATAAACCTTTAATCCTAAGGAAATGGGTTCCAAACATGGAAAAATTGCATTTCGACTTATCTAGAATTCCTATATGGGTACACTTGTTTAACGTTCCTTTAGAATTGTTCTCTTGCGAAGGCCTTAGCTATATTTCAAGTGCCATAGGTTACCCACTCTCAATGGATTCTATCACTGCCACGAAATCTAGATTAGAATTTGCCAAAGTGTGTGTTGAAATTGGTGCATCTGATACAATTCCTAAGTTTATAGATATTGTTCTAAATAATGGCCAAACAACTTCGATTGCGGTTGAAGTGCCGTTGATGCCTCCTAGCTGCAAAAATTACAATATTTTTGGTCATAATGTTAAAGGATGCAAGCATAATCCTAATTCTCAAGCATCAACAATGGTCTGGAGGAAAAAAGATGTTGTCACTTCAACCTCCCTGGTTCCTGAAGCTGCTTGTCCTGAAAGAAATCAAATTTTAAAGGTTGATGGTTCAAAACCTTATTCGTACCAATCATTAGAGGATAATGATACAGGAAATCAAATCAGTTTAGAGGTGCAACACTCAGGAGATGACCCTGATGATTCGGGTGTTCCCATAAAACCAGACTCCTCTACTACCACTGTTATCGCTCAAGAAACTGCTTCTGATCTTAATGTTGTAGAAAATCTGAAACTTCCAGAGCTTTTACGCAGCTCTGCTGATTGTATTTCTGCTCCTACAATTATCAATAAAAAAGTTAGAGGAAGGCCTGCTAAGGTTCAAAATGCATTAACAAGGTCAAGCAACAAATTTGAACTTCTAAGCACGATTGATGAGGCACAATCTACTGCAGAGAATCAAGGTAAAAAAGTTAAAGCAACAGCTTCTGGTGTTGAAGAATTGATAAAAGAACTCAGAACTAAAAAGAAGACACATCTTGACAAATCTAAGGGTTCATTAGGAGGAAGCAAGGGAGGGGATTCAGGCTCCTCATCCCAAGGAAATGATTATTTCCTTATGGAATGTAAGAGGATTGAATAATCCTCTTAAACAAGGCCAAGTGCTTCGAAGGGCAACCCAGAATAATGTAGATATTCTTTGCTTGATGGAAACTCGAGTGAAAGTAGAAAAATCAACTAATATTTTAGCAACTTCTTTTGAGAATTCGAATGTTCTCACCAACTATGAATTTGCAGTAAATGGAAGAATATGGTTTTTGTGGAGGAATGGACTGGATTTCTCCTTATGTAATGCAACAGATCAGAGTATCACTGTCAAAGGTTTGTTTAAAAATGCTCATTTCATCATCATCGCAATCTATGGTAGTAATAACGGTATTACTATAAGGCAACTTTGGCAAGAACTCCGACATCTCGATTCAAATTTTAGTGACATCCCTTGGCTCTTGGGAGGGGATTTTAATGTCACCTTGAACAATTATGATAGCACTAACCAAGAGATTATGGGTATGTTCACCTCTTCTGATATGTTAGATTTTCAAGAAATCACTCATGACTTACATTTACAAGATCACTCTTACTTTGGTCCTACATTCTCTTGGAGCAACAAACAAAGTGACAATTACCTTGCTCGAAAGCTTGACAGAGTTCTCATCAATCCCATTTGGTTCAAATCTTTTCCTCTCTCCTCTGTGGAGTTCTTAGCACCTTGTCCTTCAGACCATTTTATGGAAGTGGTTGATCTTCACAAAGAGGCTCACTTAAATCAACCCAAACCCTTCAAATTCTTCAATTGATGGACTCTTCATCCTGAATTTATTAATATTGTTAGTCAATCATGGAGTATGGCAGCACAAGGCAATCCTATGAAGTCTTTATTCTTAAAGCTTAAACGTCTCAAAGTCAATCTTAAACGGCTCAATAAAGACTACTTCAGTGACATCACGGCTCGAGTTAGACAAAAAAGAGAAGAACTCGAAAGATAGCAAATTCTTACTTTAAGAGGTGTTGATTCCATAGGAAAAGAACTTGAGTTGAAGAGAGAGCTCAACTCTTTACAAGAAGTTGAGTCCATGTTTTTAAAACAAAAGGCTAAATTGCATTGGCTTAAGGAGGGTGACAAATGCACAAAGTTCTTTCACTCAATCATTGCTACAAAGAACAAGAGACAAACTATAAGAGCCCTTGTCAACAGTCGGGGGGAAAAACTAGAATCATTTGATGAAATGTCCTCGGAAATAATAGAGTATTTCAAAAATCTTTTAGGCTCCAAGGATCCTAATGTTAAAGAATATCCTCCTACACTTCATAAAGATCTGATGCAGCCTATTTCTTCCTTTGGAGATTCCGAATACCTTATCAAGGAAGTTACTAGTGATGAGATCAGAGATGTTATTTTCAGTCAAGGCAACGACAAGGCCCCCGGCCCCGACGATTTTACTTCTCTATTTTTCAAGAAAGCTTGGTCAGTGGTGGGCAATGATGTTATTAAGGCTATTAAGTACTTCTTCCAAGAATCTTATATCTACCCAGCCTTTAATGCAACAGTTATTGTGTTGATTCCAAAAAAGCTGAATCCTAGCAAAGTATCTGACTTCCGTCCAATTTCATGTTGTTCAGTTATTTACAAGACAATCACAAAAAATTCTTGCTAACAGAATGACAAATCTGCTGCCAAGGATTATTGCTCCTAATCAATTTGCCTTTGTCAAAGACAGGAATATTGTTGACAATACTCTTCTCGCTCAGGAAATTGTTAAAGGATATGGGAGGAAGATCATTTCGCCGAGGTGTGCACTTAAAATTGATCTTCAAAAAGCTTTCGACTCCATCAATTGGGACTTCATTCATGCTGTTCTTAAAGCTTTGGATTTACCTCCTTTAGTCATTGAATGGATTGTATCTTGTTATACGGACGCTAGATACTCCATTGCTCTCAATTGGAAGCTTGGTTGGATATTTCAAGGGAGCTAAGGGAATCAGACAAGGAGACCCTCTATCTCCTATGTTGTTCGTTCTGGTAATGAACATCCTCTCTAATATTCTCGATAATGCTGCTATCAGAGGGATTTTTGCCTTTCATCTTAAATGCAAAAAAATTGGTCTTACTCACTTGTCATTTGCTGATGATTTATTAATTTTTTGCAAATGAAACCTTGAGTCTGTTATGGGTGTTATTATTGCATTGGATTGTTTCTATGAGTATTCAGGTTTGAAGCTTAATGCAAGCAAATGCGAGATTTTCA